GCACTCTGCAAAGGTCCCAAATGATGAGCTGGTCCCAGCACAGTCAGGTAGAGCGTAGATGAGTAACACAGTTTCTACACATAACAAATGTTTGGAGAAAAAAACCTTCCAGTTGATACATTAGATATCCAATTTAAATCACTAAATAACATATCAGAAATATTGATCAGCCTCTTTATTTATTAAACCAGCAATGAGACATGAAAACAGTTTGTGATCATAAAAAATAATTTTGTACATGTTTATCCTTCAAGTGTACTCACCTGTGCCACTGTAACGTGTTTTAGCATCCATCTCAAGTATATGTATGTTTTAATAACCGTTAATTTTATTGTATTTTTCCACTTTAATCACTAAACTGTGATGTTTTGCAGTGAGCTGTGAGTATCAGACGTACAGTACAGATTTACTGCTGCAGAAGCCTTTGATGCTGATATTTACTGAAACCTGCAGACGAGTCAGTTTGTGACTTGGTGCCGTTTTGCAAAAAAAACTGAATGAAAGTAACCAAAACTAATCAACATCAGAAGAAAGGAAGCAGCGCAGGAATGCAAACTGAGCCTTCAAAGTGTTTCTGTGTAACATATTTGAACCTTATTGTTGTTATAAAATCGGATAATATCGAGTTCCATCTTTTTATATATGATTCTAGATATTTTTGAGCATGTGCAAACAAAGTGATAGTGCACATCACTGAATAAAAGCAGTGTTTTTCTCTCCATTAGGAGCTAAACATTAGTTCACAAGCAGGAGGAGTAGAATACGCGGAAAGATAACGACTTTGATTTGTGATTTCTACTTTTCCATCAGCCCTCTCAGCCCGTGGCGCCTGTCCCTTAGGCAAACAGCAGACAGTAAACAAAAGCAAATCCACTTCAAACATCCAGGCCCCCCACTCGGATGAAGAGATGCAGTGGGTCTCCTTCCTGTCATCTGCTGTTAGTCGGGCTATTTATCAAAACATCGGCTGCAGGCTGAGTGGAAGCAAGTAACCTGGAGGCCTGCTTTGGCTCCGCTTCGCTCTTTCTAAACGTGCAGCGTGTCAGGGTGTAAACAAGTGCCACAGCAGCTCATCATCCTGTGAGGTTTTCCCGTCGAAGGGCAAGCGAGCGTTAACCTATTCAATAACACGCTGACTGTGTTATTACCTGAATTAGATTTATGTCCCATTAGCCTCACTGACAGGGACCACTTCTCCTCATCCTTATTCACTGGTCCTCGTTACAAATATCAATAAACACCAAAAAAGAGAACAGAGAGGGACAGTGACACACTGCATTAGGTTGTTCACCTTAATATTCAGCAGCTTATTCTCTTATTTGCATAAACAAGAATGTAAACATCCCAAACATGTCACAAATGTAAAAATACTTACTAATGGGACGCACGGTCGAAAATGCCCTTGTTTTCAGTTTCTGACATTTCTAATAGATTCCACTTCATCCATTTCAGGCAGCTGGACCAGATATATCAGAACTGATGCATCATTTAGTTGGAGAATTTGTGATTTAATCTACACTCACTGGAAAATGTACAAGCTCCCTGCTTTTACCGAATTAGACGTCAGTTTAAGTTCTTCCTGGCAGAGATTCAAGGTGCTGGAAACATTCCTCAGAGATTTCGGTCCGTGTTGACGTGATGGCATCACACCGTTGCTGCAGATTAGAGGGATGCACATCCATGATGACATCTGCTGTTCCACCACATCCCATATGTGCTCTACTGGACGGCGATCTGGTGACTGTGGAGGCCATGCTCAAGTAACCGATTTGCTGGATTCTGCAACATCGTCATCCCGCTGGAAGCCGCCATAAGAAGATGGTATCGTGTGGTCATAAAGGGATTGACATGGTTGCTACAAGAGGCTCAAAGTATGCCACAAGCAGCAGCCTGAACTGTTGATATAAGGCAGGAGGGATGCATGATGCCATGTTGTTTATGCCGAATTTTGACCCTACCATCTGAATGTCACCACAGAAGTCGAGACTGAACATTTTTCCCGTCTTCTACTGTCCAATTTTGATGAGCTTCAGTTTCCTGTACTCAGATGACAGTACTCTGGTGCTTCAGGAAGAAGCTCTTCTGCCTGTCGGAATAATCCCAGCAGTTACCGAAACACTCGGACCAGACCGTCTGGTATCACCACAGCACGTTTAAAGTCACTTAAATCACTTTTCTTCCTCAATCTCACTCTCGATTTGAACTGAGTTGCTGCCATGTGATTGGGTGATTAAATTCGCAAGCAGTTGAACATACAGGTATGGACAGGTTATGGTCCTGATGTTGACCAAAATAAAGAGTAAATGGTAAAACGTGGTTGTATGAGGCCTGTTTTTAGATCAACTAAAGATCTGTAGGAATATTAGATTCAGCCGTTCAAAGCCAACAAACTAGAATAACAGTCAGGCACTAGATGCAGGTGTAATTCTAAATCACAGAGTCATAACTGATTGTACTGACATGAATTCTAGTCAGTTATGGATGTGTGGTGCATATTGATTGTGACTTTAGGGCACAGTTGAACTATGACGGTACGAATGTGTGGCGTCTCTGTTTGAGGGGAAAGAAGAATAGAAAGAGACGTGATCATAAAACAAGAAAGTGAAGAAAAATCCATTTCAGGACAAATCGAATGATGATGTTATTTAATCTCTCGCCTCGATCTTCTGATCTGCACAAACGTTCATGTAATACAGCCACCACTGGGTATGTGCTTGTTCAGAACTCGTACAGTAATTACAGTCTTATTCAGCAGCAGGCGGTGGATGCACACCCGCACACACACACGTACAGCTCACACTTAATTATATAACGAGACAAATTATTATTCTCAAATCTTGTAGCCTGTGACCCCAATTAAACTAGAAGTGTGTTTAGAGCATGAAATA